CGAGACGTACCGCTGGCAGCTGGCCCACCTCTGGACCGACTGCGACCGCGTTTGCCACGGTGAGTCGGCACCAGTTCCGAGAACTGCCGCCGCGAATTTAGTGGCGAACCGGCCATTCTCTATGAGCCTATGTGCTGCCATCTGTCGGCCTGTGTGCTGCCGTCTACCGGCGGCCCGTCGCCATCTCTCGATAAAGGTTCTGTCACCTGCCGGCTGACGTTGTTCCCCCCCCCCCCCACCCCTCCACAGGCGTGCAGTACCGGGAGCCGGAGTGTGTGCGCACCTCGGATCTGGTCCGCGTGGCCGACAGCCACTGCAAGGCGGGCCGAGCGGCCCCGGCGCCGCCAGATGGAGTGCAACTCCCACTGCGAGCTCAAGTGAGCGCAAGCTGGGCGCCGCCGGGTGTCAGACACGCCGCCGGGTGTCAGACACGCCGCTGCGGTCATCAGCCACGCCGCCGTCGGGCGTCAGACACGCCGCCGCCGGGTGTCAGACACGCCACCGAGGCAGACACGCCACCGGTGTCAGACACGCCGCGGGGTCAGACACGCCGCTGCGGATCAGCCACGCCGCCGCCGGGTCAGACACCCGCCACCGGGTGTCAGACACGCCGCCGCGAGCATCAGACACACCAGCGGTGTCAGACACGCCGCGACACGCCGCGGGTGTCAGACACGCCCGCGGCATCAGACACCATTGCGGTGTCAGACACGCCGCCGGGTGTCAGACACGCCGCCGGTGTCAGACACGCCAACGCGGTCATCAGACATGCCGCCGGATGTCAGACACGCCGCCGCGTGCGCTGCTGCATGTGTACGGTCGACAGGGAATTTGGTTAGGATATAAAGAGCCATGCTCATGGTTTGATATTGTCATGACACGGTGTGGGCATCCCGTGATGAGGTTTGGCTTTAGGTTTAGTGACCTACATAAGCGCACATCGTCACGAGCACAGACCAGCGTGGTCATGTGCACGCAGAAGACGCTTCCTTGGGTCTCCTGCCGCTTTCCTCCCCGGCCACCGCCCCTCCCGCCCGGCCAGGGCCCCGCCTGACCCTGCCGCTCGGGCGGGCCGCCTGACCCTGCCGCCGGCTCTGCCGCAGGTGGGAGGTCACGCACCGCTCCGAGTGCTCCTCGGCCTGCGGCCCCGGCATGCGCACGAACGTGGTGCGCTGCTTCCAGAAGTTTCCTATGTACGAGATGTCGCCGATCGGTGCGCCAGTACTGTCGCCAGGTGGCAGGCCGGCCGCAGACACGAGCCTGCCAGGCACCTGCGAACACACGCGCTGGCGCTACGGCGAGTGGTCTCAGGTATAGGGAGAGAGGGCGACAGGCTCGTAGGCGAGGCGGCCGTATCAATCAGCTTCTTTGATGTTCGTGTTCTGTCAGTCGCCTTCATGTAGATAGCGCGCGCGGTGAACCGGAGTGGGCAAAGTGAGGCTTGTGGATCTTGACGATGTGTTCAGTCTTTGATGCTGATAGCAACTTACTTTGCCAAAGTCTCAAACGAAAGGGCCAGTTCAAAGTTCCTGCCGCAACGAACGGCACCGCCGCGTGATTTCGCAACAGATATGGGTTTGCAAATGACGTTTGTGGGTACCAATCACGCCGATTACTGACGATGACCGGTGCACGGCCAGCGCGGTGGCGGCACGATGGCGGGATGTCAAGCCCCTACGTCCCACCACTCGACCGACGCCGGGTATCAGGTGGCTGACATCGTTGCCGGCAGTGTTCTCGGTCCTGGGAGGGGGCACGCAGAGACGATAGCCAACGCGTCAGCAGCGAGGGCCAGGAGTGGCCGAGGCGCGCTGCGAGCAGGCGGCGCGCGACACGCAGCGCGAGTGTAACCGGTGAGTGTCCCCAGTGGCACGTGGGCAACTGGACTGAGGTGAGGTCCGAGCTGGGAGGGTGCCGGTGCCGTGCCCGCGCTCGAAGCTGTCATGGCTCCCAAGCTGCCACCGGAGTGGCGCGCAGCACGTGCGCACTTGCTGGTCTCTGGTCGGCTGTCTAACAATGCCGTGAAGTCATACGTCGCGTATTGTTTGTTCGCCAGCTTCTGTCATGTCTGTCGTGCGTAAAGAGTAACACTCCTCGTGCTGTTCACCAGCGCTGTGGTCCCTACCGAGTCCGCCGGAGAAGCACTCCAACGTACCTGTTCACCAGTGCCCCTGTCCCTACCGAGTCCGCCGGAGAAGCACTCCACGTACCTGTTCACCAGTGCCCCTGTCCCTACCGAGTCCGCCGGAGTAGCACTCCACGTGCATGTTCACCCAGTGCTCCTGTCCCTACCGAGTCCGCCGGAGTAGCACTCCACGTGCGTGTTCACCAGTGCTCCTGTACCTGCCGGTTCCCCGGAGTAGCACTCCACGTGCGTGTTCACCAGTGCTGTCCCTACCGAGTCCGCCGGAGTAGCACTCCACGTGCGTGTTCACCAGCGCTCCTGTCCCTACCGGGTCCGACAGCACTCCACGTGCGTGTTCACCAGTGCTTCTGTACCTGCCGGGTCCGCCGGAGTAGCACTCCTCTTGTGTAATGATCCACCGCTGTCGTGCCGTCGAAGCGGCAGAGCTACCTGAGCCGATCCACGCCTGACATGTTTTGTGAAGCGGTCGGGGTGACGCCTGCCGCCGCCGGCAGTGCTCCCGCACGTGCGGGGTGGGCCAGCGTCTGCGGCCGCTCTGGTGCTGGCAACAGGACCGCACCGTCGACGACGCCCTCTGTGACCTCGGCCAGGCACCGCCGCGGGTCGAGCCTTGCTCAGGCGAGCCGTGCGCTC